GCAAGGTATACACACATACACACACACACACACACACACACACACACACACACACACACACACACACACACACACACACACACACACAAAAACAGTGGCTTTCACAGGAGTCGTGAGAGTGGAGGCAAGTTGTCAATTGTGTTTTATTTTTTAGGATGTTGAAAGTGGAAATGACCTCAAGAAGAAAAGCAAGACTTTGTATGTTTTTTTATACAAAAACACACACACACACACACACACACACACACACACACACACACACACACACACACACACACTCTCACACGCACACACACACGCGTGTACGTTGTTATGGTTTTCATTGTAGCGCTTCAGAGGTGCGCAGTCGTCTTCCGTTCCTGTGCAGACGCAAGCGTTTGGTCCAAAGTGACAGTCTGGAGCGAGCTCTGAGAAACACCAGGTTGGTTCTTAAAAGATAATTTAGTTTCCTTTTATTTTGATATTTTGGCAGACAGAAACGGGCGGTTTGTGCTGTTGTGGCCTTGAAGACCGCTTTGCGGGCCAACGGAAGCCGCTTTTCTCTTTCCGTTTAAATTTTGAATACGAGAGGCGCAGTCTTTGCTGGAGTCCAGGCAGGAGGTTGAGGGCGTAAAGTGCGTTTATAAGAAACTACAAGACGAGTTCAACCAGCTGTGCCGGAGGCAGGGGCTGATTTAAAAAATATAATAAGGGTGAATATTGTCATATTTGTGGAGCTCAGAATGTGTCTGCCAGCGCCTCGATCAAATTCACTGATGGTGTTGCATCACCTGCGCCAAAACTTAGACCTCCTTTTCAGCAGGCATAGAGTTTCGTCAACTTTCAGCCACCGGGTGTGCCAGGAACCAGTCATCTAGCAGATCCCCAAGCATTCATTGTTTCGTAAGATTCTCTATGTTTTTATCTTTCCTTTTCTAGGCCCTCTGCAAGGGAGGTGCTTATTTGGGCCGAGAGTCTCAAGGCTCTCTTGGCCAACCAATGTAAGTCTTCAATTGCCCTCGTCACTGCGGGGAAGCGATTAATTCAATGGGCGAGAGGGGCCAATGTCATTCCATCTTTCTTCTCATTGCTCAGACGGCCTCGCGGTATTCCGCCACTTCCTGAGGTCGGAGTACAGCGAGGAAAATCTGGACTTCTGGTTGGCTGTGGAGAAATTCAAGCAGACGTGCCCCCTCAACAAGATGCCAGACAGAGCCAACAAAATCTATGAGGAGTTCATCTCGTGCAGCGCATCCAGACAGGTAGATGATGACGTTTGAAGACGTCTCCTGGTCATGTGACTCTGACACGCCGTGACAACGTCCTCCAGATCAACGTGGATTCAAACATACGGGAGTTGACCCAACGGAGCCTGCGTCTGGGCGCTGAGACCACATCCTTCCAGCTGGCACAGGATCAGATCTTCAGCCTCATGGAGGCCGATAGCTACCCGCGATTCCTCCGGTCCCGCCTCTATGCCCAGCTGGCCAATCAGGATGTGGGGCTCGCCGATAACGGCCAAACAGA